AGGAAGTTATTCTGCTTTCTCTTCAGGAGGTAGTACATATGGAGTAGTCTGACATCTCAGCACAACACTGCCTGGCTCCACAGAAATGTTTTGTGAAGTCAGCTGACTACTCCCCCGTGGGCCTTCAGTTGAGAACCACTGCCCTAACCAAATGCTAAGCAGACTATGTAAAAAATAAACAGGTCAGGCTGGACAGTGCATTGCTGGCAGCACCTTCGCAGAGATCCCTGTGAGGCTGCTGTATCAATCTGCAGGTCTAGCAACCAATGCTGCAGCAGGAAGGGAGGTAGCTTAGACCTGCCCATCCCTGGCTGCTCACTGTCTGCACTGGCTGCTTCTGGTGTTATTGTCCATAGAGCTCCCTGCTGCACTCCTGACTACATTAGGTTTATCAAATAAAGCTTCTATCAATGGAACATGGCCAAGTCTTCTGCTGGTGCTGACTGGCTACAGCTGGCTGCAGTCAACGAATTTAATACAGATAAACCTAAGGTAGTAGAGCCTGTTCCTGCTGCAGCTGCTTCAAGGTTTGCCTCTCACATGCCTCTTGGAAACAGAGGTGCATGGGATAGTTTCACAGGTCTACTGTAACCATGGCGTCCTGGCTGAGAACCACTACCCTGTGCATTTGTTAAATGTTCTGGACATCTTTACCTTTGTTTTGGCAACCTCTAAATGAGGCTGTTGAAATGCTTTTGCATAGATAAGACAAATATTATAGCAAAACCGCATTTTTAAAAATCAGTTTTACCTTCACAGGACCAGCTACTTCTTCTACTTGATGAATTTTGTCTTTAATTTCTTCAAGTTTATGTTCAGCTGCTTGTAGATTATTCTTCAGTTCCTCCATTATCACCTTCTGTTTTTGCATATCTCCTTTAACAGTTTCCATCTTATTCTTGTTTTCTTGAGTTTCATCTACCTATTATTGTACAAATTAAGTTTGTAAAAAAAAATCAAGAAGGGAAAACCACTCGCATTTGCCATTGCGTAAGATTTTTCATTTCATAGTCATTTTTTATGGCTGCAAGGTTACAAGTAATATTAAAAAAAATAGTCTAACAGAAATAGAGCATAGACCAACATAAAAATGAATAAAGCCCACCAGTGGATATTGTTAGGAATCTCTTACAGACCACTGAATCAAGCCAGAAAACAGGTGTTACTGCAAAAATACCTGTCTATAATGCATGACAAGAAAAAGTATTTGTGAAGGACTTATTCCAGGTGATATGCTGAAGGGCTCATGCATCCAGTACTATAAAAAACACAGGTTTTCAAAATTGTGATTTCCTAACAGAAAAATATACACAGAATGTAAGGTAATTTTATTTTGTACTTGAATATACCGAATTAATCATTGGACTAAAAAAGCTGATGGGACTACTCATAATGACCCAGCTGGTATTAATTTGAGCAAAGACAGGAGAGTCCAACTAGCAATCATAAGAAAGTAGGGCTGAAAGGGACCCTCAAGGTCATCTAGTCTACTCCCAGTTCCCTTAAAGCAGGATTGTCCTCGACTAAACCATAGCAGCCACATGTCTGTCTAACATGCTCTTCAAAATTTCCAAGGACAGAGATTCCACAACAGGTAGCCCATTTCAGTGGCTGACCACCCTCAGACTCCAAAAGTTCCTCCTACTCAAATCCAAAATTTCCTTTGCTGTAGCTTGAGGCCATTGTTCCTAATACTGTCCCCTACAGCCATAGAGAAAAACACATCCACATCCACTCTCTTCTTCTTCTTCAAGTATTTGGAGACTTACCAAATCTCTGTCTTCTCCTCTCTAGACTAAACAACCTCAGTAATTTTAGACTTTCCTCATAAGTCCTGCCTCCCAGACCCATAAGCATTTTTCTTGCTGTGCTCTGGACCCTTTCCAATCATGCTTCTTGACATGGGGCCCAAAAACTGAATAAAGTAGAACCACAGAATCACAGAAAATTAGGGTTGAATGGGACCTCAGGAGGTCATCTAGTCCAACCCCCTGCTCAAAGCAGGACCATCCCCAACTAGATCATCCCAGCCAAGGCTTTGTCTAGCTGGGTCTTAAAAATCTCCAAGGATGGAGAGTCCATAACCTCCCTGGGTAACCTATTCCACTGTTTTGCTACCCTTCTGGTGAGAAAGCTTTTCCTAATATCTAATATAAACTTCCCTTGCTGCAATTTGAGACCATTGTTCCTTGTTCTGTCATCTGCCACCACTGAGAACCGTCCAGCTCTATCCTCTTTGGAATGCCCCTTCAGATAGGTGAAGATTGCTATTAAATCTCCCCTCAGTCTTCTCTTCGTCAAAATAAGTAAGTCCAATTCCCTCAGCCTCTCCTAAGAAGTCATGTGCCACAACCTGCTTTATGTAGTGGGGGGCCCAAAACTAGACACAGTACTCCAGATGTGGCTTCACCAATGCACAACGGAGGAAAATAAATCACCTCCCTTGATCTGCTGGCCACGCTCCTACTAATGCAGTCCTGCATTCCATAAGCATTCTTCACTGTTGGCTCATTTTGATCTTATTGTCCACTGTAACCTACAAGTCCTTTTCTAAAGAGATGCTGCTTAGCCAGTTGGTCCCCACCCTGTAGCAATGCACAGTATTGTTCTGTCCTAACTGCAGGACTTTTCAGTTGTCCTTACTGAACCTCATGAGATTTTTTTTTTTGATTGAACCCTCCAATTTCTCTAAGTCTCTCTGAATCCTAGCCCTACCCTCCAGCATGTTTACTACAACCCCCAGATTGGTATCATTTGCAAACTTGCTGAGGGTGCAATCCATCCCATCTGCCAGATCGTTAATGAAGATATTGAACAAAAACAGCCCAAGGATCAACCCCTGAGGCACTCTATTTGATACTGGCTGCCAGCTAGACACTGAGCCATTGATTACTACCTGTTAAGCTCAACAATCCAGCCAGTTTTCTATCCACCTTACAGTCCATTCTTTCAACCTATACTTCCTTAGCTTGCTTGCAGGAATGTTGTGGGAGACGGTTTCAAAAGCCTTGCTAGTCAAGGTATATCATGTCCACTGGTCTCCCCGCATACACAGAGTCAGTTATCACATCATAGAAGGCAAGCATGTTGGTCAGGCATGACTTGACCTTGGTGAATCCATGCCAACTGTTCCTAATCACCATCTTCTCCCAGTGATTAGAAATGTATTCCTTGAGGACCTGTTCCATGATTTTTCCAGGGACCGAGGTGAGGCTGACTGGTTTGTAGTTTCCCAGACCCTCCTCCTTCCCTTTCTTAATGATGGGCACTATATTTGCCCATTTCCAATCACCCAGGACCTCTCCCCACCACCATGAGTTTTCAGAGACAATAGCTAGCAGCTCTGCAATCACACTGGCCAACTTCCCCAGCAACCTCAAGTGTAACCCGTCTAGACCCACTGACTTGTACATATCCAGCTTTTCTAAATAGTCCCTAAACTGTTCTTTTGCCACTGGTGGCTGCTCACCTTCTCCCCAAACTGTGCTGCCAGGTGCAGTAGTCTGGGAGTTGGCCTTGCCTATGAAGACTGAGGTGAAAAGGGCACTGAATACTTCAACCTTTTCTGTGTCTTTTGTCACTATACTGCCTTCCTCATTTAGTAAAGAACTCATACTTTCCCTGATCCTCCTCTTGTTGCTGACATACCTGTAGAAACCCTTCTTGTTATCTTTCAAGTCCCTTGCTGGCTTCAACTTCAACTGCACTTTGGTCTTCCTGACTTCATGCCTGCATGCCCAAACAATACTCTTATATACCTCCCTAGTTGTTTGTCTAAGTTTCCACTTCTAGTAAGCTTTAGCTTCACTTCTAGTATGGTTTGGCTCACTGAAGAGTTCTCTGCTAAGCCAAGCCGGTCTTCTGGCATACTCGCTAGTCTTCCTGCACATCAGGACGGTTTGTTCCTGCACCCTTGTTAAGATTTCTTTAAAGTACAGCCAGCTGTCTTGGACTCCTCTCCCCTTCAGACTGGTCTCCCAGAGGATCCTGCCCATCAGTTCCCTGTGCGAGTAGAAGTCTGCTTTTCTGAAGTCCAGGGTCCATACTCTGCCCAGGTCGGGGTGCCCAGGCAGAGGGGCTGGGTTGGTGGCAGCAGCCAGAAGGAGCTGCTGTCACAGGGGCTGCTGGGAAATGGAGTCTGCTGTGGGCCCGATCTAGACCATGGGCCAGACTTTGCACATCCCAATCTAGATACTGAGCCATCTACAATTATCCATTGAGCAGGATGATTCAACCAGTTATGTATGTACCTTGAAAGTACTTTAATCTAGTCTATATTTCCTTAACTTGTAAAAACAGCTTCAAAATACCTGATTTGAAGCAAGCTATCACATCCACTGCTCTCTCCCTATCCACACAGCCTGTCACCTTATCATAAAAAGAAATCAGGTTCACCAGGCATGACTTGATGAATGCTGTTCCAGATCAAGAGAACCTTCTTTTCCCCTACGTGCTTCACAACAGATGCCTCAATGACCTGCTCCACGATCTTTCCAGGTATCAAGGTAATGCTGACTGGTCTGTATATCCCAGGATTCTTTGTTTTCCCTTTCTTTAAAGATGGGCAGTATAGTTGCCTTTTTCCAAGCATCTGGGACCTCACTCTGCCTGTCACAATGATAGCTTAAGGGCTCTGAAATTGCTTTAGCCAATTCCTTCAGTAGCCCAGAGTTCACCCTATCTGGCTCCCCCAACTTGAAAGCACCTAGCTTCTCCAAGTAATCCCTAACCTCTTCTTCTACTACGATGGGTTGTTTGTCTCCTTCCCTATTTTTGCTACCAAGAGTACCTGTCACCATTTATTAAAGTAATAAGTCAAAAGTCCTGTTGCCCTAAAACTGAGGAAAATTATAAACAAATTTAACCACAGGAAAAAAATTAGAAAATTATGAATGAAAATTGTGGTATTAGTCAAAAGATCATAATTCAACAATCAAGAAATAAGCCTGATTCAACTGCAAAGGCCAGTAATTAAATAGGTTAAAAAAAGTGTAAAAGGGGTGAGGGGAGGGAAATGCAAAAAACAGACAAGTGAATAAATTAATGGCTAATAACGGTAAAGAAAATAAGCATGTTTTGTGTGTGTGTGTGTGTGTGTGTGTGTGTGTGTTTATTAAGTGTGTAGACACAAATACTAACGAATGAAGTTTCTACAAAGCCAAACACAATGACCCAAGTAGTTAGTCTGAAATCAATCCCAGACAAAATGGAAAAGCTGACATGGGATTCAACTGGTAAAGAATAGAAATTTGGAATTCATGCCAATTGCTTATGTCTTGTTTAATTAACAAACCTAAATTCATTCAGGTAACTGAAGAGAGACACTATACTAAGATTTTGACTTAGTACAGTAGAACAGTCTGATTAAAATTAGTATTATACATGAATACAGCATATTACATGGGTTAAAAACTGGTTAACTGATGGATCCCCAAACATTGTCACCAATGGTGAAGGGGTGCAGCTGTTCAGGGTTCCACAGGGTTTGGTATTAGACTTGACACCATTCAAAATTGATGTCAAAGTTAACGGTGTCAAGCAATGCACGTGAGTGGCAGGAGGCAGGCAGAATGGCATTCTCCTCCCCCAGGGAGCCTTAGTCAGAACAAGCACAGTTCTGAACCCAATATGTATGCATGGGGATGAGGGGAGAGGGAGCATACAGGGCACTAGGGTCAGCTCACAGAGAGCTCTGCACAGGACTGAGCAGACCAAATGCTGCTACAGCAGTGGCAGCTGTGGTCTTCCTTTCCCCCATCTACACGCCCTGCCCCCCTGTAGTCTTGTACAGCAGTCACCGGAAGCACCTCCCCATCCCCTCCCCTGTGTTCAATGAGTTTGCTATGCCTCTGCCATGGACTTCTAACTGTAGCTACTGGTGCTGCTTGTTGACACCAGAGCCAAGGTGTTAACACTGCCACTATATTCAACCCACCAGCGCCAGGTCTGCTAGAGCTATAATATCAGCACAGCCAGCACCCAAGTGGCGTATGCTGGCAATTTCAGTCTCCATCAGCAACAGAAGCCATTAATTTCTGCAACAGTATTTCACTCTCCAGTATTTCACAGCTAGGTGACTGTGGTTGATGCTGCCGCTCCCACAGCTACAATGACAGAGTTGAGTGGCAACTGCTAAAATCCTAGGCTACTGGCAGCCATTGCAAAAGCCCCACAGGCCAGACCTACTTCCACATGCCAGACCCAGACCTTGGGCCTTATGTTTGACACCCGTGCTTTAAAGCCAAAGGCTATTTACAGACATGGGGGGGAAAAAAAGGAGCTTTATTTTAAGCTCAGTGGGCCCCTGCGCCAAGCGCAGCACATGCCCAGAAGAGGATTTGCACTGGATGGACCCAGCTTGCCTACGTCTGTATAGATCAGGCACTTCAGGGGGGCTTTTTGGTGCTTTTATCTAATAGCTGATTGACTCAGCTTTAGATAAAAGAGCCAAAAAGCCCCGCTGAAGTGCCCAATCTATAAAGATGTTAGGCAAGCTGGGTCCAACCAGTGCAAATCCTCTTCTGGGCATGTGCTGGATTTTTTTGTTTGGCTGGTTTTTTTTTCACATTTGTCAGTGCCCAAAGGCTTCAAGACAATTTGTAATTTCAGTTCTGTATTCTGGCTCATGTTCACCATAGTACTTGCTTGCCTGTTACAAACTCATTAACATCATCAAAAATACAGAATTCCATATCTATGTTATAAAGTATGTGGCAAATGTCTTACTAGTGTAGAGATGTCCACTGATTGGTGTTCTTCTACATTCTCGAGATCCATTATTTCTACGTTTATTCTTCTTAGTTTGATCTGAAAAAAATATATTGGGAGGGAGAAATAATTTGATAACAAAAAGCCATACCAAAACAAGTGATTCAATAGTGCACAGGCCCCAAAGAACGAACTAACAACAAAAATTGCTCATGTAGCAAATCCATTACTTTGCAATGGAAACCTAGTTCTGAAAGTAATATTCATTTTACTAAATGTAGTTCCAAAGTCATTTTCCCCCAAACAACAGGGAATATAAAACTTTTTCTTCAAAAAAATATTGTTGTGTAACAGCTTAATGTCAGTCCATTTACTAACACAGGACAGCGAGACACATATGTGCACATTCTACATATCAGGATAGTAAATAACTGTACACCTGAATCACAGAAAATTAGGGTTAGAAGGGACCCCAGGAGTTCATCTACACCAATCCCCTGATCAAAGCAGGACCATTCCCAAACTAGATCATCCTAGCCAAGGTTTTGTCTAGCTGAGTCTTAAAAACCTCCAAGGATGGAGAGATCACTACCTCTCTGGGTAACCTGTTCCAGGCCTTTACTACCCTCCTGGTGAGAAAGTTTTTCCTAATATCTAACCTAAACTTCTCTTGTTGCAACTTGAGACCATTGCTCCGTGTTCTGTCTTCTGCCACCACTGAGAACAGTTCAGCTCCATCCTCTTCGGAACCACCCTTCAGGTAGTTAAAGGCTGCTGTCAAATCCCTCCTGCAGTCTTCTGCTTTGCAAACTAAATAAGCCCAGTTCCCTCAGCCTCTCTTCATATGTCATGCTCCTCACCATTTTGTTACCCTCTGCTGGACTCTCCAATTTGCCCACATCCTTTCTGTAGTGTGGAGCTCAAAACTGGACTCCAGATGTGGTCTTACCAGTGCTGAATAGAGAATTTGTACAATGCTGGCTAATACAAATACAAATGCTGGCTAATACAAAATTTATCCTGCCCCCTACTATTGGAAGTCATGTAGTCAACCAGAAAAAAAAATGATTAAAAGACTAGAGATTTATGAAAAGATTAAAGTAAAAGCATGCAGCTTGATTAAACAATAAGAATGATGACAATGAAGAAATACTAATATATAATCAGCCAAAAATATAAATGCTAAGCATAAGCACGAAGAAAAAAGTAAGATTTCTGAAAATCATATAAATGAGGACTGACGGAAAGAAATGGAGGAAAAAATTAACCTTGACATTGGGAAAACACATGATAGAAAATAACGCATAAATTTCCTACGTTTGTCTTCCAAGGAGAGCAAAAGTTAGACTGACAAGAATTACTAAATTTACTATAGTAAGCAATCACAAAACTATAATCCCTTTCTTTTCTTGTGTTACAAGGTATTTAGCAGAATTTGCAGATTCCTTTTTAATCTTGACAGGGCTGAGCCAGGAGTTCTTCTACTAAGGCCTCAAACTCTTGACTTCTGGGCTTTAAGCCTCTCTCCCCTGTTTCGACACCACCAGAGCAGGGTAAAACCATAATGAGAGTATCCTAATGCAGGTCTTCTAGAATTCAGTCCTCTATTAAGCGAGGACACTAATGACAAAGGAACTAGGTACCATACTCATTTTAATAAAAACAAATAAATTTAAATAAATAGATGTTGAAAATCAGTATGTTGTGAGAGTCTAAATGCAGAAAGGTAAATAGTACTGGTTAGAGAAGTGCTTTAATTTAGCAACATCTATTACATCTGTATTTCTACCTGCAGTTCTTTTTGGTGTTGACGATGTTGATTAAAATAATCTTCATTTTGTCTGATCTCATTTTCAATCGAATGTAAATGCTGTTGTGATGTTAACAACTGTGCCTTCTTATTTTCAACTTCATTTTCCAGGAGACTTACATAAATAGATAAATATACACATTGACATAAGATTACTTTGTTTGCAATCATATTAAAAAGGGACTCAACAAAACAGGAGTTCTAGAGTAGCAAGAGACTGTAATGACTGATGAAGTGACACAACATTCTACCACTAGGTGACCAGTTCTAACAAAGAATCAGCTGGTGACTTTTTATAAAAGTTTGTATTTCTTTTAATAAAGCTTCAGATCAATAGGAATCAATATTCTCATCTTCTCTGAGTTCCAAAGGCAACTTTGTTTTAAAACAAACATATTGTGCACAGTTAACCAGGTTACACATTATGCAAAAGGGGAAAAAAAATGTATTATAGTTGTAATTAATACCTGAAGATGAAATGTAGAAACTCCCTATGAACAAAAGTGCAACTCACTGGGTCTATTTTAATCAATCAAGATTAGAGGAATATAAAAACTAATCCAAAACCTCTAGTGTAAGAAGTTATTAAAACATAAACAACTTTAAATGTCAGTAGTTACTAATTATTTTTAAGAAAATAAAAATTGTATTTTATTGATCCCAATTGTGCTTTATCATAGTTTTTGTAATTATTTTTTAATTCACTCAACCAAAAAAGTGGATTTTTTTAAAATGTGCCATGTTGAAAAATAATCAGAATAATTCAAATGTGATTATAAAAATCCATGACTGCAAAATTGGCTATAAAAATATGCTAAAAGCTTCCATTTAACCAAACAGCTGCAATGCTTTAATCAAAGAACATTTAGTGCAGTACCAATCTGGAAGAGAAAAATTAAACTGCTTTCAAGCTGAAGTTAGGTAGCACTCAAGTTTTCAGAGCGTTTAGAAAGCTTTCAATTGAGATTTTCTCTTGCTGTAAGGCTACAAATAAAAAGGTAGCCAGATTTCTCCAAGTATATTCCCCCCCCTGTAAATCTCTACTCTGGACCACATGGTATAAGAATGATATCACACCAATTACAGTTAACTGCACCCTAAATTGCAATGTGACACCTGCTCAGTGAATTAATGGCACCATAAAATGACAAATTACAAAGGTGTTCCACATAAAACGCAGAACAGTTTTGTGCCTGTTTTGTATGGTGCCTTGCAACGAATGTGTGGCAAGTGCTACCCCAGTCTAATGTCAGCAATCAGCTGATTGTCAGCATCAGGGGGAAACAGTCCACCCCAGGCCCCCCACACACTGGCCAAGCACAGTTTGCAGCATTGCCTTGCAGTCTGCATGCAAGATGTATTGAGAAGTGCCACAGGCTCTCGCCACTGGCATGTCTGTAGCTTTGCCCTGGACCCTGTATGCGGGACAAAAGGCAAGGCTGCAATCATGCCAGGTGTGGGGGGAAGGCTATGCCATCAGGACTGGGCAGGGGGCAAACCCAGGTCCTAAACCCAGAGCTGCCCCATGTCTGATCTCAATGTGGGAATAGACATGGGGTAGCTGCCCAAGGTCCAAAAAATACAGGTGTGCATCCCAGCTGGGCTGCATGTGCTATGCAGTTTCAGGGTGCTGGAAATACAAGAATGGGGGTATGGATGGAAACTCTGTAACTTTAACCCTGAATAAAAAAGGGTTCAGTTAAACTTGCACTGCTACAGAAGCATTTGGATAAAGCCCTTACATCTTAACAACTTGTATCAGTACTCTTTGATACTAATTGTTACATTTCTCTATTCCCAGAGTCTATCACAACTTTGAAAGAACATACTATTGCCCTACAAGATATGACAATGGTGCTCAACTTTTTGGCCTCACAGGCCAGATGAGTGGCATGGGGCTAATCCATGAGCCAGATCAGGCCTTGGAGCCAACCTCTACCTCCTCCTACCCCTACACACTAGGATTGGATCACTTCTTTCCCCCCGCCAATATGTTAAGATTGGGTCCCAGGGGTCAGGCATCTCCCCCTTCCATATCCTGTGCACTGGGATTGGGACCCTGGGGCCCAGTGCCACCTTCATCGATGCCACCTCCATCCATCATGCAAGGCCTAGGGCTCCCCGCAGGTCTAGAAATTCAGCAGGTGTGAAACCATACCACTGCTCCTGTCACCAAATTTCCAGACCCATAAGGAGCCCTGTGGGCTTGATGACAGCACTGTGGGCCTTATCTGGCCTGTGGGCTAAGGATTGAATTCCCTGGATATACAACATTACCTTATTTCAACATCTACATCTTTACTTAGGAACCTGGGTCTAGTGTTTTCAGAGGAGTAATATCGTCTCTCAAACACCTGATCACCTTCAGCAGTGAAAGCTTCTCGACAGTTTTTTGGAGGCTTGTTACTCTGCATTACCTTACGAGCCACACAGCTGCTCTGAAAAACACAATGCTTTAATTATGCTTGTGGAAAGTAACCATAAAATAGACTAGCAATATAGAACGTTATCCATTAGCATGTTATCTTGTGAGAACCCCAAACTCCCAACTACTTCTGAAAATAAGAACACAAGGTTAGAGGGCTACAGCTTAAAAAAGAAAGAAAAGAAAACCTGAATTTAAGAACTTTGTTTAATTTGTGTCTAAAGTTGCTACACTTCCTCAGCAAAAAAACCCCCTTAAGATGGAAGGGGAGAGTGAGGAAAGAAAAGGGAGAGGGGAAGGTATGTCTGGGTGGTCGTTTCCTGGACACAGGAACTGGAACCTAGGGCTCTACATTCCCAAACAAGTGCTTTCATCATCACTGAGTTAGAGTTAGAGTCTCTTCCTGTGCAAATTATGTAACCGCTAATCTATTATGCAAAATATGGGCATTGACACTCTTGCTGATCAGTTCAGCACCTACACTCAAAAAAAGCAGGGTAGAGGTTCAACTTACAGACTAACAAAATCAGACATACGCTTTTGTGAACCACAATTCACTTTATCAGATGATAACTTAGTAATAAAATGGTAGCGTACCAGGAGGTCTGGATGTTGCTGATCTGCTTGGTCTGCTACCTGCGGTTCATGAGCAGCTCACTTAAATGTTAACATCTGAAGAAATGAGCTGTGGGTCATGAAAGTTTATGCATGTCTGATCTGGTTAGTCTATAAAGTGCAGCTCTACACTTTCTGCCTGATCTTACACTAATATGGCTAACAACCTCTCTTTCTACCCTTAGAAGAGACAAGGTGCTCCGGATTCCTAAGTAAACAGATGTGCCTAATGCTCATGTGTGTCAAGCTTCAAAAAGGGGGGGGGAGGGGCAGAAGTTCAGACATTTCCCCGTGCTTATCCAAATTCACCCTGTATTTACCCAAATCCAAGACAACTTGAGACCACAGCTGGAGTACTGTGTCCAGTTCTGGGCACCACACTTTAACAAGGATATGGACAAGCTTGAGAGAGTCCAAAGAGCCACCCGTATGACTGGAGTCTTAAAAGGCAAGCCATACGAGGAAAGGCTGAGGGATCTGGAACTCATCTGCCTGAGGAAAAGACGACTGAGAGGGGACCTGGTAGCAGCTTACCACTACACTAGGGGTGTATATTAAGGCCTTGGCAAGCAACTGTTTAACACAGCACTCGAGGGAAAAACCAGGAGTAACAGCCACAAACTCGTGGAAAATCGATTCAGGCTCAACATTGGGAAAAACTTCTTTACAGTCAGGGTGTCCAGACTGTGGAATACGCTCCCTCCAGAGGTGGTGCAATCACCTACCTTGGAAATCTTCAAGAGGACACTAGACAGCCAGCTTGCTGGGATCACCTGACCCCCAGTTATCTTTCCTGCTTGGTGCAGGGGGTTGGACACGGTGATCTTCCGAGGTCCCTTTTGGCCTTACAATCTATGAATCTATCAAACTTTGAATTTAACACCTGCCCCATTAGATTCTTGACATGGAAAATTATAAATTTATTATCTTCCTATCTTCCACATCTAGAATCTAATTATTGGAGAGTCACCTTACATTGGGGAGGGAGTGGGGTTATGGTGGTTGCGGGCCCCCACTGCCCAGCCCTGACAACAGCTGGCAGGGAGGGGGAGGTGGTGAGGAGAGAGGGAAGGAGGGAGGGGAGGCAGCCCCGCTGTAAGACAGAGGTGGGCAAGGGGAGGCCCCATGACGGAGGCTGGAGGAGGAGGAGGTGGTGGCAGAGGGAGTCTTTACATGGCCAGCCCCGAAGGGTGACTGGGTGACAAGACGGAAGCCACAAAAACACTCCCCGAAATCTGTCATCCTTGACAGGCAATTAGCTAGCTACTCATAATATTAGTATCATAATACTGGGAGGGAGTATGATACCTCCCAGTATCAGATACAATTATGAGGTGCAGCTCTAAAATGGAAGCTTGTTACCAATCAATCTGAATCTGCTCCAGGGATATTAAGCTGGATGGAAGCCAGGTCCATAGGAATATCTATATTAAAAAATAGTTCTTTCTAGGAAAAGCTAAAAATCTCTGAAATGAACATCTAATTGGTACTACTATTTTGGCTTTGGAAAGCATTTCTCAAAATGACTTTTCAGGTTGATAGCACTGACAGTATCAGAAAGTATGAATAAATAAACAGAATAAAACCAAATTTTTATAGAAACACTCACTTCAATACATCTGCACTAAGCATCCTAAAATAAATTTTAGTGTAAAATGCTATCTTAAATGACAAATACAAAATGCATATGCATATTCTGGGACAAAAAGCTATGACTGTTTTCATAAGAAGTTTACATACACACAAATTATTTTCTAAAAACTTAAACCAAAGCACAATATTGGACTTTGGCCTTACTTTAATTAGAAGGACTGTTTCTATGCCCCGCATGTCAATCAAACAGTTGGTAACCACTGCGTTATCTATTTCCAGGGCTGTAAGGACTGATGGGAATTCTGGGTGATAAACTGCCCTATAAAAAAGTGAAAAAAGAAACAAGACAAATGTACAAGAATGATCAGTTATTAAAAATCTAATTATTTTGTTTTATATGTATTGCATATTATTGTAACTACTAAAACCATTTTGATCAGAGTGTTGAACCAAGAGTTCAATTCAAAACTTACAGCTTACCTGCATCTGACATTATAAACTTCATTCCGAAACCTGTTCACAATTATTTGTGGGCGAATCCCAGGTGAACAATATCTTGACATCAAGGCCTGAAGTGTTCTCTCATCGTTATGATTATCACAACAAAATGCTTGAAGCAGACTCTTTAAACAAGCTTCAACAGCTAGAGTAAGTTCTGCATCTTTGAGATGAAGATAAGCACCTAAATACAGACAAAAACACCCAGGATTTAGAAGCACTTTACCCCAAAGATTTTACATTTTTGACCGCACTTACAGCTTCTGCTTTAGGATCTGTGTTGTTTGGGGTTTGTTTTTTTTAGGTTTTAAGGAACACAAATTTACAAATATGTTTTAAGATCACATTAGGTTTTCTAAACAGTACTGTAGAAAGAAACAGGCAACTACTCATAACAAATACTATGATTTCCTAACCCTTAAGCGTGGGATGAACCCCCTTTCCCTGAAGTCTGGAAGCAGTTAGGGGCTAATTCCCACAGAGACGCTCATGTAATAGCAGTCAAGCCAAAGAGTTAAAGCAGTAACTGTTAATGTGTTCCTTAAAACCCTCTCAGACTAGAAATACTAATTGTTGTTAAAACCCTGCCCATTCTCAGACTACAAATGCAAGTCACATAAGGAGAGGCTGAAGGAGGTGTAAGGCATGTTCAGCTTGTGGAAAAGACACTTAAGAAGACACAATAGCATTCTTCAAACACCTGAAGGGCTACCATAAAGAAGAGGGAAAGCACCTTTTCTCTCTTGCTGCAGAAAGGAAGATGAGGATGAATGGCTTGAAGTTTCAGCAAAGTAGGTTTAGACTGAATATGTTAGAACAGTGAGGCAGTGAAACACACTGCCTAGGGAAGTTGTGGACTTGCCATCACTGAAGCTGTTCAAGAAGAGGTTGGACAGCCACTGGTCAGGCATGATGTAGATTTAGCTATGCCGATGTTATTATGGGTATTTACTAATTTTCTAGGCTTTGCTGGTTTCCCCCTCTCCCCTTTTTTTTGCTACATGTGTCAGGACGTTTTCAAGTCTTCCTAAGAGGCACTGGGTTTGGCTGTAGTAAAGGCTGGAGATTTTGGCTGGGGTGTGCTAAAGCTCTTGCTGGTACTTAAAGCTGGAGGTTCTCGGACAGAGAGTCTCACCTCTCTGCTCAGGGCATACTGATTGCCATATCTGGGGTCTGGAAGGAATTTTACTCCATGGTCAATTAGTATGGACTGTGAAGGTTTTTGCCTTCTTCTGGGTGTGACCCTCTACTTGGGATCTCTTGAGTGTATTAGCTAACCTTTTACAGAAGCTGGATACTGGTTGCCATAGTTCCCCTGCTTTACCTGTGGCAGGTTAAGGTGTTATGCCTTGTGTTGCATCAGGGTTGATAGTAGTTTTTAGAAACAGGTTAGATAACAGATTGGTATAAGATAATTTGAATAAAAATGATCCTGCCTCAGGCAGGGGGATGGACTAGATGATCTCTGGAGCTTCCTTCCAGCCCTATTTCTCTTATCTCTAACAAAAATTAACAAAATCAAACTCTCCAATGAAGCAACAATCTGTTAAAAATGTTTATCACTCCATTCAAAACACCAATTTTTTTTTTACTTATTCATTTATTTTTTACAGACTTTCACTGTATCTGAACGTCAGGAAAAGTCTGACCCAGGATTGTATACCAGCTGCCCCTAGTGAGAGAACTGAAATGCTGGTCAGCTTCACTACTGACAACAGAAAAACAAACAACTTAAATTTCACAGAGCAGATATAATGTCTGTAAATTCTAGGAAAAACATGGAAATTGTGGGTTTTATATCAGACTTAAACTAAAACCAAAACTTGGAAAATATAAAGTTTCAACTAAGGCTGAAACCCAGTTTTCAACCAGGTGTATTCCCTGTAACTTCTCATCTTGAAACTTTACCATTATAAGAGGATTGGCAACATACATTGTTATTTGTGAATTTACAAGCAGGAGGACAAATTTCCTATTCCTTATTAGTAATATTTCTAACCACTGATTTTCAAAAGCGCGTGGGGTACCATGCAACCATAAGGTGCTCATAATGAAAGAATTATTATATAAATTAACAGACATGCTGTATTCAGTGCAGTAAATTTTTCCCCCTTTCCTTAATGTGGTCTGACCAAGAGTGGGATCTTTACATGAGTATATCCCTTTTTTTCTTAGGGTAACCCTTATGGCTTACTATGACGTCCTGCAGACATGACAATTACATTACAAAAACTACAATTCATATTCAGCATTTCACAAGCAGCACCTTTACAAAACAATAGCCTTTTGTACTGAGATTTTGCTTCAGGCTTTGTCATCGTAGAGGAAGATAAAGTAGCCACGCAGTCAATGTTTTTGAAAAGCTTCTGAAGTTTCCCAAAATGAAAAATCATTAGAAAGTTGTTTTTCAAAAAGTGTCAATTTGATTTTTCTGTAGTCTTTTTAGGCCTTGTGGAAATCGGATCCTTTGGCTAAGTGCTTTTCTCAAGGCAGTGATTTTATGCCATCCAAAATGAGAAACTACGGGCAGGAGGCATGCTACACAATCAAGACACCACATCAAGATTGAATCAAGACTTATAACTAATCAAAATTACTACATGTAACTCAAACTATTTATGTTAAAAGTAACAGGACTGTTGGATGTTCCATGGCCACATAAACAGGTTAGAGAGAGGCAGATACATAGTAGATCTTTGGTCTAGTAAGAAGAACTCAAGAGAAATGATAACTACTGTTCAAGAAAGTTTCCTTTCCATGTCACCAGATTCTACAGGCAACCTTTTTCAGGAGGCGTTTTTATGAACTGATGTTTACCTAGTGGCCCAACAGGTTTTTCTTTGAAACGCCCTTGCCTAAAGGCTTCCTCAACTGCTTCAAGAAGGGCTGGCATGTGTTGTCCAAACCTTTTCAACTGATTTGTTTTACTCCCATGCAGCTCCTTAAGCTGTCTCTGCTTGGCATCCAGTACTTGTTTCACTTCAAGTTCTTCTCTCCTAAAAAGAAAAGATTACTGAACAATTATGAATTCTCTATTACTAACAGGCTGTACGCAAAATAAAATAAAGTGCCCAAAGTTAGTTTGCTTTCCTTCCAATTCTTTAGTTATTACAGTCTTCAGGAAGAAGCCTTGCCAATCAGCATAATGTGTAAGTCAATCTTGCACAGAAATCTGCACATCCGATTTCTTGATTTTACAGTAGCAATCGCAAAGGATGAGAATTAAATGCATTTTACATAAAAGTCTAACTCTTTTTATAGTTCAGAAGACGTGTGTTAATTAAGCTTTGAAGTAAGAGGTCTAGCCTCTAAAGAAATATCTAAAATGAAAGATTTAAATTAAAATATCCCATGTTTAAGCAATGAACTATTACTACTACCACCCAGGTTAGGATGCCATTTGTGACATCTTACAAAAAGCAGGGCATACCAGTAGACTGTGAAGGAAAAGAATGTTCATTTTGATGTTTGCGGTGAGGTATTTATGATAAAAGTCTGGAATTAAATCAGATCTTAATTTCAGTGTTGCATTTAATGTTTATTACTAACACATTTTCATTATATTTCAACAGTTCCCAAATTTAATCTTATTGCCCATACTAATGCAAAGCTGTACCAAACCTTAAGGAGCACTGGAAAATTTAGAACTACAATGCAAAATGAAGCTTAATGCTCCAGTATTCTAGGAAATGCAAGTGATGAAGAGGACCTCTAGCAAATGCAATAAAAGCAAGCTGACATTAGTATTAAATATATAGTTTAACTTACTTAAGTCTGGAATGTTCTTCCTTGTACTTGTATATAGCTTGCTGAAACTGTTGCAGCTGTTGACCAATCACAGTTTCCTGATCAGAGAACACCTTTAACTGCTCTTTCAACTGGGTGATTTTTCTTTGTCTTTCCAATTTTTCAGGATCTGAAACTTGCTCGGCACTAATAGTACAGACCACAATTTTTTAGCCACAAAAAATGGACAATAGTGAGAACAAGATTTTTAAAACATTAAAAAATGTCTAAAGCAAAGCTGTCTAACTGATAGCCTGCAGGCTCCTACTGGGCTGCCACACCCCACATCAAGCCACTGCTGACGGCATTGCCTTACTCCCCCTTCCCTCTACCAGCTTTTGCTTCTGCCTCCGGGAGCAGGGCAGTGCAGCCTGTGGGGACCATGGAGCTTGTACGTTGTGGTAGTGGGGAGAGAAGGAACGGGGCCATGAATCTGGGGGGTAGGAGGTAGGGGGAGAGACAAACGCTCGAGGAGTCTACGCAGGCTGTGCAGTGTGCACCGCCCCCCCACAATCACTCAGAAGTTGGACAGCCTGCTCTAAAGCACATATTTTATAATTTTGCAAGCTTTAATAAAGCAACAAAAACATCCAAACATCATTTAAACACAGAAGAGCCTTGCTCTTGACTGGTGCTCAAGACATATTCCACCTCTGTGAAAGACCCAGATTAAATCATGACATTCAACCAGACTGCATATACAATTGAAATTACCTTTAAAATTAAACATGTGCAAAAGAAAAACAAGCAGTTTGTTAACTGAATAAACAGAAGCATTGTTATAAGGCAATATTTATACGTAATGTAGACCCAATGAATATTTTTTATATGCATCAGATCTGCACAACAAATTTTTGTGCACTTTTCTTCTCTGGGAGAAACTGATTAAGTTTTACATTTTTTTAAACACATACACATAGATCGTGGCAATCTGAGTTAAATTTAGTTTGAATAATAGCTACTCTGTAACAGCCAGCAGTTTAGAAACTAAATCCTGTCTCCAAAAACAGACATGGCTTTTGTTTTGTTCAAAACTTCCCTTCCAATCAATCAAGAGTTTAGCAGAAGCTGTATGCACTGAAAACCTAATACATTTAAAATAACAGACCCCAAGAGGATTGTGCATTCGCCCTGACACTGCTAAAATATCTAAATAGCTCCTTTATTCTACAAACAATTTTTTATCAAAAAAAGACAAGCGCTTTCATTGCATAACACACCCCTAAATTTAAACACGATAGGGGCATTCACCTATTTTTCAGTTCTTCAATCCGTTTGCGTAGCTGTATATCATCTTTTTCTAGTCGTCTTAATTCAATTCTGAATCGATTATAAAGAACCTAACAAGACAATTAGACATATAATTTATTATCTATTGGTTTACTTAGTTTCACAAAACAAAAAAATCCGATGCATCCACTATTTTCATACACAAATACTAACTCTGACTGAGGATATGAATGTACACAGGAAGTGCTTCAAATCCCACCTTAAACATTAAGTGCTTCTAATCTGGAAGACATTAAGAACCATATGAAATCCTCCCGATTCAAGACTCCTCCCGATTCAAGACGTGATTCAAGATGGACTCATGGGGAACACCTCAAGACCTAAGGCTGAGGAGGACCAGGTTAGAGAGCTTCTGGAGGGGCTGGATGTGTTCAAATCAGCAGGTCCAGATGCTCTCCATCCCAGGGTGTTGAGGGAGCTAGCAGGGGTTATTGCAGGGCCCTTGGCACAGCTTTATGAGCGCTCATGGTGCTCGGGCGAGGTGCCAGATGATTGGAAGATAGCCAATGTGGTCCCCATCTTTAAAAAGGGGAGGAGGGAGGACCCAGGCAACTATAGGCCCGTGAGTCTTACCTCAGTCCTGGGGAAACTCTTTGAGAAGATCAAGGAGCACATCTGTGATGGGCCGGCATCAGGGATGATGCTCAAGGGCAACCAGCAAGGATTCATTAGGGGCAGGTCATGTCAGACCAACCTGACTGCCTTTTACGATCAGGTCACAAAAGCATTGGATGCAGGTGTCGCCGTGGATGTAGTCTTTCTGGACTTCAGCAAGGCCTTTGACACTCTCAACCATCCCATCCTCATTAAAAAACTAGGCGACTGTGGCATAGATGCCTACACAGTTAGATGGATTGCAAATTGGCTGAAGGGTCGTACTCAGAGGGTGGTGGTGGACGGGTCATATTCGACCTGAGGGGAAGTGGGCAGCGGAGTCTCCCAGGGCTCGGTCCTTGGCACTGTTCAATTTCTTTATCAGAGATTTGGACGACGGGGTGAAAAGCAACCTGTTCAAATTTGCTGATGATA